CAGCAGCTTCTCTCTGGCGAGGGAAGCGCAGCGCCTCCCAAACATTTTATTTTTATTATTAATATCTTTTCTTTGTTGCTTATTGGTTTGGTTTTTTGGTACTTCTGTTGAAAGTGACTGGAAGGGTCTGTGACTGGAAGGGTCGTGGCTTGGCTTGGTGTGAGCACAAGATGGTGTAATGCCAGGGAGGAGGGAAACCTGGAGCCTGTGCTGGGTTTCACCTGGTGCTGGTTCTCCTTACCTGTCGCTTCAGGGGGCCCCTCTGTAATCCCAGCTTTAGAGGCTTCAGGCACCTACCAGTAGGACAAGAGGGCATAGACTCAAGTTCTGCCAGTTGGGATTGTTGAGCCTGGAGAAGAGGAGGCTCAGGGGAGACCTTATCACCCTCTGCAACTCCCTGACAGGAGGTTGTAGTCAGGTGGGGGTTGGTCTCTTCTCCCAGGCAACCAGCAGCAGGACAAGAAGGCACAGACTCAAGCTCTGCCAGGGGAGGTTTAGGTTGGATATTAGGAAGAGATTTTTTACAGAGAGAGTGATCAAGCATTGGAATGTGCTGCCCAGGGAGGTGGTGGATTCACCATCCCTGGAGGTTTTCAAGCTGAGACTGGATGTGGCACTTAGTGCCATGGTCTAGTAACCACGGTAGGGTTGGATTCGATGATCTTTGAGGTCTTTTCGAACTAGGTTCATACTATGATTCATCTTAAGGCTTGCTTTGGGCTCTGCTGGAATGGGGTGTGGATGAGCCCCTCCCTGACAGCACACTGGATACTGGGGAAACTGGAGTTTGACTGCTCCCGATATGGAAGGGCTGGTTCTGCCAAGGGAGAGCCTGTGTGTAAAGGGATAATGCTGGAGTACAAAAATGTCTGCAATGTAACCATTTTTTCCTCTAATTCGGAATCATGTAGTGTTTGAATTTTACAGTTGCTATGTTCAGTTTTTATACAGCATAATAAATATCTGTGCTCCCTGTAGTCTGGCAATCCTGGGGAGAGGAATAGGCCTGCTGAGAGATTTAGGTTCAGTTTCTCTTCTGGATTAACAGTGAAGGCAGAGCTTTTGACATGGGCTGATCAACAGCTTTTAGTGTAGTGGTACAAGAGTAAACTTATTTTTTCCTGTGCTTTGTAGTATCCTGAAATGTGCTGGGGGAATTTCTGGAGATCACTAACCCTGATAAATTATACCTGAGTATGGTTATTTTAAAGTTGTGCTATGTTGTCCTGATTGCTTTTTGTAAAAAGCATAACTTTTTACTACTTAAAAAACTTCCATTCTTTTAGAAAGAAATTGTGTATTATCTGCACTTTAGAACAACTTTAGAGCAGTACAATGTTAATTTGATGTTAAAAAATAAATTAATTAGTAACCCAGAATCTTCCAAGGTTTCTGAAAATATCTAGCTTCATCTTTCCCTTGTGTATGCTATTCTGGTGATAATGACAGGCAAGATTAATAACCTCTAAATGGCTAAAAGCTTATTATCTTACATTTGCATTGTAGTGTATGTCTGCTGCCCAGGTCTGGCTGGAGGATTGGGATTTCATCAGTGGCATGGGCACACGAAGCACTAAGATGTTCTGTTGGGAGGCCTATTGTAATATAAGATATGTATTGATAACAGGAGTGTTAATATTTCCATAGCTAAGGGACTGTATAGCATTAGACTGTTTCCACAAAGAAAAAAATAATAAATATCTTTATTTCTTGTAGGTTCCTCATGGACTTGGCACATCTCATTTTTAGTCACTTGTATTGCTGTTTGGCCCTCAAGTTAGGGACAGTGATTCTAGAATGATTCAAAGTGGTTAGACATGCTTGTTTGAAAATAGAGCACAGCAATTGCTTTTTGTAATGTTTCTAGGATTTTCTTAAGCATTTCTGTAGCCTAACCAATAATTTGAGGCTCGAATCTGGTATTTTTCTAGGGATGTCAGATTTGCAGACCTTCACATTTGACATTCAGTTTATTAAACTGATCTGTTCATGCTGTTCAGTTTGTAACAGTAGGTTGTCCAGTGACATTAGACTTGGTACTGTCTTTTCAAAGGACTTGATGTTCGTCTAACTTGAAAATGTTTTTTTAATGTAGTTTGAACTATACAAGTCTGTTATGCAAGAAGTGATTGAAGGTGTGAGGATACTCTTTGCAGAAGATGGTGTGGAGGAACATGTTCTGAAAGACTTGAAGCAGGTTCGTTGGGTTCCCCTGCAGGAGTAGCAGTTGTGTTTGCTGTTTTTTTTTTTTTTTCTTTTGAGGTGATGTCTACCTGTCTATTTCTTTGCCCTCCAAAATATGTGAACTTTTGCCCTAACTTAGATTTACAAGTATCCTGTGAGTGATGTATTGGCTGCTGGGAGTTGAAGTTCATTAGTGATTGTTACCGTGTTTATTGGATAGAATCAGTCAATTTACTCTTAGAAAAACTGGGAATACCTGCTTATGTTTTTAGATGTGGTTTGTTTTTAAAACTGATATTTGTTGACCTTACTAATAATCTTTCTGCAGCTTTGGGAAACCAAGGTGATACAGTCTAAAGCAACAGAAGGCTACTTCAGACATAGACCCTATCCTCCACTGTTCACCCTGCAGCCAGCACACAGTTTTCCTGGCGTTCTGCAGGCTTCAGCAGGTCAGATGTGTTGGACACAATTGGTGCAATTTAAGAATAGCTCAGTGATTCAGGGATATTTTTGGAAGACTTTCATTAATCTTGGTTTGCGATGCTTATGTATGTATGTAGCATGATGGGGAGCAGTAATTATTTGAAAGGAGATTTTGACCAATAAAAGGCAAATTAAACTTTGAAAAACTAATGTAATTCTGTCTACATACTCTCCATCTGCTACTTATTTCCAGTAGTAAAACCTGCAGAGAATTTTAGTCTTCTTGTCTACAGTCCAGAAGAGTGGCCCTTCAGCTGCAAACTTACCAGTAGGATTAATGTTTTGTTTCCCCTGTTAATGTGTGTACTGATGTGTGCAGATGTTATGTGGCATGTTTGTGCCATGCAGCTCTGCTGTTGTGCTGGAGTTTAATCTGGTTCTCAATTTGTTAAAATGTAATCCCTTGCTGGAACAGAAGAGAGGAACCTTTTTGGTTTTTTTCAGTTAGTTTTTCTAAAAGCAGGGTTCCTGTTGTTGCAGAGAAGTACTTGACTTTCACACAGCCTGTGACATCAGGACCTATTCTTCTCAGTTAAGTCCATCTGTGGTATTGTTGTGGTAGAGTGTAATGCTCACCTGAGACTTATTCCCAAAGTGAGAGGCCATTAGAACCTTTGTCCATAAAGGACAAAAAGCATGTGAGATGATTTAATGAAGGTCTGTGTGGTAGTGCACTTCAGGGCTGGGCAGGCACTCTTCATCTGTTTTTCTTTCTTTATAATATTCATAGTTGAATAAACTGGCTTTGGAGGCAGGTGTTTTATTTATTCCATGTGGTTAAAAGGAATATACTTTTGGATTTGCATGCTATTGGAGGCTTTATATTTAATGAGCATTACTTTCTTACTCTTAAGTTTTTAAAGGACAATACTAAGGCAAAACATTCTGTTGAAGCCACTGAATCTATTTATTTATATATTTTTTGAAATGGGTTTTGAATTGCCCTATGGCTAGAGATTTTAAAAGTTTGGGCTACCTAAATTGTTTGCTTCCAGAAATCTGACAAAGTTTTCCCTTTGGCTTTTTCTCTCCCACTGAAATCAGTATTGAGTGCTGTTGAAAATTCCACGCTGCTGTTCCTACTAGTTGCACCATTGGATTTTCTCATGCAGAAAAATACTTGCATGTTTTTGTCATGTTGACAAGGCAATACTCTTGCTCACTTGATTGTTGATCTAATGAGTATGAACTGAAGTTAAATTGCTTTAGTTTCAGCCATGCTTGCTGTAAATTATTGAAAGATAACTGTGTCCAAGAAATTAATGTTTTTTTCTAAAGTGTCTTTTTTATTTTCTTTTCATTTATAGCTTCTTGTCTCATTCCAGCTGGCAGAGATTTCCAGAATTTTGCAGCAGCAGAACTCGTATGTATCTGTAGTGGTGTTTTACTTCAGTTTTGATTATCTCAAATTCCTAAATGATTGCTTGTCAGTTATTAATAGGCTTAAAGAGAGAGAGCTGTAACACTGCTGCTTCAGTTTGAGCAGTGAAAAAGGATGGGGGTCTACTTGCTGGTTTTGCAAGCAGAGCAGCCAGAAGTGTGCTGGAAGACATGGCTGTATGTTTTCAGTCTATAGGATGGAAGTGTAGTGGAAATGCACATCTACAGATTTTGTTTTAGTTTTTTTTATTTTTTAAAGGAAAATTATTACTGTGTGTTAAAAAAAATGCATGGTTGTGAAATACTAGCACTAGTGAAGCTGGGAGCAGCAATATCTGTGAGGTGTAGAAATCATCCAGAAGAAAATGAAAGTTTTAGAGTTGACTAGTTGTGAACTCTGGGCATGGCAAAAATTCTTTGAGGAGGGGCTACTAATTGTCAGAGCTCGATGACCTTAGAGTGCCTCCTGAATCTCAAGCTGACTAGCTTGCTAAGTGGAAATATAATATTGGGAAGACGTTTGTGCAACATGTGAGTTTGCTCATTTAAAATTTGGGTTTCCCCAGAACAGCTAGTTTGAATGGGAGCCATGTGTCTTTGCTTTCCAAGAGGAAAAGCAAATGTGAAGTGACTTCATAGGCCTAGGCAAGGAGTCTGTGCTGTTTGGAGTAACGCATAAACGTAGGTAAGAGTAACTCTGAGTGGAAAAATACCTTTCTAGATGATGGGTACGTTGAGGAGGTAGGGGAAAGTGTTCTGTTAACAAAAAGGGAACATGATAGTTGGAAAGTAGGAAACATTTATGGCAAGTCCGTGCAGAATACTCTTCATTTGTCAAACTCAAAAGCATGAAGCAGCTTTTCAATAAAGATGACTGCAGAAAAGCTGTCATTCATGTTCCATATGGATATGTTAGGTGTGACATTCAGGGCCCCAAGAGATAAGATGTGCACTATTCCTTAATAAATACAGCTCTTGTGTATCCAGGGGCCTCCACAAGCAGCTGCAACTCTTGCTCTCCCTTTGGATGTTGCTTATCCTATACATGTACCAGCTGGAGTGATGCTACAGACAACATCTGGTAAGATTAAAGAGGAGGTGTAAAATGTTACAGTGCATTGTGGATGTTGAAAGATGGGGCTATGTACAGTAGATAAAACAGATGTGAAGTTAAAGTATAGGTGGGTAGAGCCAGTTATCCTCCTCTTCCTTTGTGGTTTGTGTTTGTAATTGCTGCATGGGGGAAGTAATTACATTGATTAGTTAATGTGTCAGTTGTGTACACTTGCAAGATCAGTTAACGTGAGCTGCCAGGTGATGCCATTTTTTTGGATTTTACAGCATATTGCAAATATCTTCCTTTGTTAGCCCAGACATAGGTATCTCTTTCCCCTATATAAGGGACAATCTTCCATGTTTTAAAAAGGTAAAGACACTCCAGTACTTCTGAAACAAATTGATTTCTTATTCAAATAAAATCCAACCATCCATTAACCTTCTTTGCTCACATTATTTTGCCGATAAATCTGCTTATACTGCTTGTACAAAAATGTGCTTGTACTGCTTAGGCGTGATCAGTGGAAGGCTTATTTGAGCAACTGACTCCTCGTACAGCTGTTCTGTGATGAGAACTAATGTCACTAGTTATTTATTTCAGGTATAATTCCAAAGGTTTTGAGGCTTATAGGCTGGTACCAATGACTCTGCATGTGTAAGCATGTGTGTGGGGAGAAGAAAAATCGAATGAAATTTGGAATTTAGCTCTGGCATCTTAATTTTAACACTGATAATAATAACTTTAATGATTCAGTATTTGGAGTAGTTTTCATCCAATGAGAAGACAGATAAACTAGGAGTGGTTTGTGTTGGGTTTTTTTTTTTTTTTTTGTGTTCTTTTTAAATTAAACTAGGTAGGATTTTTAGAGGGAATACCTAAAGGTCCTTAAAGGAGTGAACTCTTCCTGGAGCTGTGGAATAGTTTACTGTTTTGTCTTGGATTCCTTAGTTTCTGAAATGACATGGAAAAAAGTCAAACCAGGATTTTTATTTTTTTAAGTTTTTAAAAATTCAGTATGTAATTAAATTGTTGAAGTTACTGTCACAGGGAATTGTGTAGGCCAAACCAAAAAATGGGTATTAAACATGATGGTCTGCATAGAGGTCAAGATTCAGAAAGCTTCTGAATACTTAATTCTAAAGAGCTGAAATTGTTCCTGGGGAAAGTTTTGCTTTGTAAACATCATTAGAGCTGAAATTGTTCCTAGGGAAAGTTTTGCTTTGTAAACATCATTTTTCTCATAGTTTGCCTGACTGTTTGCTATTGGTTATTAGTGGTAGCAGGTCAGTGGCCTGTATGAACCTGTGGTTTAACCTGCTGAAGCAGTTTTTCACTCTTCTCTTTGTAGGGCAACTTTATAAGGTAAATGTGCCTGTTATGGTTACACAGGCCTCAGAAGATAAAGGTATTCTACATCATCCTGTTTGGCAGATATCTCATCCCCTTGGGCAACCTTCAGTTCTGCAAGACAGTGTTGCACAAGTGAATGCATCTTCTGCCCAGACAGCTGGTGACACATTGCAACAGGCTATGGCATTTGAACCAAACATTGTGGAAAAAACACACCTGAACAGCTCTGCTACATTGGTCCAGCAGCCTTCTGTGAGTCAGCAGGAGCTTGCAACTAATGCAGTGTTGAATCAGTGTGCAGGCTCCACAGAAAAATCCCAGCATAACAATCTTCACACAGCTGTGTTTGCTCCAGAATCCTCTGAAGGGCTTTTTCTCAATGAATCCTTGGCAAACAACTCAAGCAGTGTTCTGCTGGATGCAGAGGGGCAGTTAGAGCCTCAGGAACATCAGGTGTCTGATATCATTGACCTGATTATTGCAGGTGAAAGTTTGGATGATAATGCATTTCTGAAGGATCAAGGCAGCATTGCTTCCTCTGGCAAGGTAAGGGCCTTGGTTTCTCAGTTGTAAGTTTCTGTAACTGACAAATAGCACCTCTAAAATGTAAGAATAAAAATTATTTTCATTTTATAGTTCACACTTAGTTTGTTTAGAATAGCAGTACCTGACTGCTTCTTTTTACAGTAAGGATTTGTCAAAAATACTGGTAAAATACTGAGACTAATAAGACTGTCAATCTAAAAAATGCTAAAAGTGTAGTGATAGATATAATGTATTAGACTTATTTATTATTTTAGGAGTTCATTGTCTTGGTTTTTTTGTGACTAAAGAGACATGAATAACCCTTCGAAAATTTCCGTATCATTCTGACACTGGTCTCCATATGGATATTGGTCAGTTGTGGGCAAAGTGCTTTTGCAGTGTCAGCTGGGATTAGTTTGAATTTGTAATGTGTGAAGAGCATTTAAAGTTGCATTGGGAATGGATACTGAGGATGAAAGGTGAGGTTTGATAAGTGAAAATTGGCTGGAAGAAAATGTATTTCTGTGGGAAAAAGTCCTGAACAAACTAGAACTCAGCTAGAGCTGCACGGAAAACATGAATGATTTTAATTAACAGACTGCTTTCCTGACCTTATCTAATTTTTGTCCCAAAGTTATTTGCAGATGTTTGAAGTTCAGGCTGGCTTGCTGACTTTGACTTGTAGCTCTTATTTGTGATTAAGGCAAATTTGTTAAATGTAAATTTAATGACAGTAATGCCAAATGTCTGTAAATAGAAAGAATGTTATGTTGCTCAGCTGAACTTTGACAGCAGGGTGATGAAGACTGTCTGTAGTTAAGAATGGAAGGTCAAAACAAAGTGTTATTTTCTTGAACTAGAAAGTGTATGTGGAAGAGAATTAAGTGCTACAATAAAGATTTAATGAGAAACTGAAGATGGCTGAAACCTTGAAGCCCTTTTATACTCCTGTGAATGTTCTGTTTAGGAATTCTAGCACTTTTATGAACAATAACTTGAAGTACTGAAATATTTACTGTTTCTCTCAGCTTTTTATATCTTATTTAAACAAAGCATTTTGATTGAGTTGAAGAAAAGGGATCAGTTCATCTTGTCTTTTATTTAAAAAATGAAAAATGCAATTTTGGGGGGCAGAGGAGCAGCTTGTTTCTTTATTTTTTTTATGTTTGGAGGGTTTTTTTTGCAACAAGTTCTAGAGGCCTACTTGATTGTCTTTTTCTTAGAGTTGTTTGAGTACAACAGTGCTTAAAGAAAAGTCTAATGAAAACTTTTTCCTATATCACTGAGGTATATTTGACATGGGTTCCATTTAAGGTTAGATATAAGAACAAAGTTTGCAAATGTACTTAGGGTTTACTCTCATTATAGTGCCCCAAACTTGTTCTTTATTAAAAGTCTCAGGCTTTGAACTGAACAATGAAGGCTATGTGGTGTTAATCCACAAGTTCTCTCTGGTCTGTTTTATTCCTGTCATATGCAGCCTACTGAGCAGACAGAATCTAATTTACAATCAGAGAAGAATATCTGCAGTGACATTGAAGGCATGATTCAGCTGGGTGGTACTGGTCCTGATTCTCCCAAGGAAGAAATACCACATACAAAAGATCAGGAAGAGAATGAACTAATTTGCCTTATTGAATCAGAGGATCTAAAAGTTCTGGATGATGAGAAAGATGATGGTGAAGAATGTGACAATACTTCAGACACAGATTCTAACAGAAGTGGTGGTGATAATGAAGAGCTCCAAGTAGATACAGTGGAGGAGGTAATTTGCTTTTAAGCTTTGTGAAGCACATGACAATAGTAGATCTGTCTTGATCTACTGATCTTGAATTGTTTGACCTGGAACAATTCCTAGTAAGTTTAATGCAGAAGATGAATAGCAAAGTTAGATACCTCTGGAGGCAGGAGGTACTGCTGAGAAATTACTTGAGAGCTCATTATGAAGGATGTAGACAAAGGAAAGAGATGTTGAAAAGTCATTTGTTTATTGGAGGAAATAAAATACTTAATTATTAGAATCAAAGTTCTCTGGTGAAACCCTGGCCTCAGTGGAATGGAGTTCTGCTTTTTATTGAACTAAGATATTATTTGATGATTTAGATTTAGACTTAAATAAGACCTATTTAAATAAGATCAGGATGCAAATCTATCTTTCCTTCTCTTCTGAAGGACCATAGGGTATTAGACAGAGAAGAGAACAATGTGATGCAAGGACATATGTTTCCTAGGAAAAGGCTTTTCTTTAGGATACAAAATCACACATCTTTGAGAGCTGTTCACAAGAGAATCTTCTTGTAGCTTCTGGACTTACAAATAAATACATGTTGATTAGTCGTCCAGTTACTGGGATCAGCTTTGTCTGTGAGCAGTCTTGCTTTTGACCTGTGTTTTTCAGGGTATTTTTGGGTTTGAGAGTGCAAGCATGTAAAGGCTTGTGCAACATGGTCTTTACAGCCAATGGGTCCTGATTTTTGCAATGGTAACTTTTATTGTTCTAGCATCTTTAATGACAAGTATATTCAATGCTTTTCTGAAAGATGTTTAAAATTTTAATCTCTAGGAACTCTTAAATTCTGATGATGTCAGAGAACAGGACATTCCAGACTTGTTTGAACCTGCCAATGTGATCATTTGTCAATATGAAAAGGTACAGTATATACTTTTATCTTTGTTTCTTAGTCATTCTAAATAATATCTTTTACACATCCATGTCTGGTCTACTGTCAGTGCCTTTTAAAGAAAATCTAATGCTGTAATAAGGAACTCTTAAATTCTGATGATGTCAGAGAACAGGACATTCCAGACTTGTTTGAACCTGCCAATGTGATCATTTGTCAATATGAAAAGGTACAGTATATACTTTTATCTTTGTTTCTTAGTCATTCTAAATAATATCTTTTACACATCCATGTCTGGTCTACTGTCAGTGCCTTTTAAAGAAAATCTAATGCTGTAATAATTGTTTAAATTGTGTTTAGCTGACAATAGTCTGAAGACTTTCCTGCTGTTTTCTGAAATAAGAGTAATCATAATAGCCTATTAAAGGAAAAGGGAACAAGTGTTGCACAACTTGTAAAGGTGCAAAAACTTATGGATTTCCTTAGCTTTTAAGTAATATCCACATCTCCATGGATGTATGTAGGCATATTCAGCCATGAATCAAGACTTTTGAAATAGGTAATAGAAAGAGAAGAGTGTGTACTTTCTTTTATGTTTCTTGTCTTTTGAAGTACCTACTGAGAGATTTTTCTACCAGAATTCTGTTGTGTCTGAAAAACAAAGCATTTGTGAAGGGCCATTTTGTCCTCCTTCATTTTAATGTTTAGAATTCAACCTTTTTTTGAACTCCTGAAGATCAAATTAAGTACTTTCAGTTATGGTATGGTTTTGGATGCTTATATGTCAGTAATTTAAAAGATAACAAAACAAAGTACATATTTTCTTTTTGAAGCAAATATGGAAAAATATGGCTGTGGTTTGCTTAAGAGTGTGCTTTGAATTTTTTGTCCACCTAGGCCTGCATTAATTGTTCAAAAGTGACTAGTGGGAATTTTTTGTCCACCTAGGCCTGCATTAATTGTTGTCTGTGGTTTAGGAAACAGTGAGGTGCTAAGAAAATTGTTTTTACAAAGCTGCCACAGATTGAGTGTTTCTCAAACTAATTAGTTTGGAAAGTGTAGGGATAGGGATGTGTGTAGAAAATGCATCTGAAATTAAGCCATTGGTGTTTGCATTCTACTGAAAAGGGACACAAAGTTTTGAGCTTTGTATCTCAGTTTAATGTTCCAGGTGCCATAGGTAGTGCATACTGTTATCTATAGCAAGGTTTGTCTGCAATAAGCAGAAAAATTGCTTGAAAATCTAAAAAACCGTAGGAAGTTCAACACTGGACATGTCTTCTAGGAAATTTAATATCAGATCTTATTAGAAATTAACAGTTGCAGAAGTTAAGGGAAGATGTTGGTAACTTTCACCTTTCCCATACAGATTTAATAAAACATGTAGACCTAGTCAAACGTAGATAAAAACCTTGTTAAGTATAAAAGAATGCCATTGGTAAAATTGATGTCTTGTTTCTCTGTTTCTGGAGTTGAAAATAGAGTGATGCTGAAAATCCAAGGAATTTTTTTGAGATGTTTAAAATATCTTCTTCTAGTATTAAAACTCTCCTGCAGTATGGATCATTTTGCAGGCCTTTAAAAAGAAATAGAATGTGCAAATTCTTTCTTACTGTTTTGTATAGCAGCATTTACTTTTAAGCAAAGTTTTCTTGCTTTTAGCCTTATCCTAACACAACATTTGCTTTGCAGTGTGTGTGGGAGAAGGAAACCACTGCATTTCAGTCAAGCTGTGCTTGTTTGCAAGGTGAGGTGTATTTTGGGACTCATCTATTCACGAAATTGCTCCATTACTGTTGTCTTGTCCTGCAGGTGTTCAGCTGTCACCTAGCTAACTGGTGGGGGAGAGGGTGTGCTAAGATTGAGGAGGCTGTTCCCTTGAGAGGGCAGGGAGTTCATTATAACCAACTGAAATCTACTGTCTCTATGGAGCATTTGTGGTGTGTTCAGTGGCAGTGTTCACATGGTTTGAACTGTCAGGATTTTGAATTAAAAAGGTGTGTAAACCAAGTTGTGCTTAAATCCTTTTTTTTTTTTTTTTTTTTTACCAAGTTGTGCTTAAATCTTTTTTTTTTTTTTTTTTTTGTTTGTTTATTGGATGGTCTAATATATATATTTGGGGGGCACTGATTTTTATTTTTTTTCAGATATGTCAAAATAAGAACAAATGGAACCTCTACTTAAAATGTGGAGTGATGACCTTTGAGGGTAAAGGCTATCTTTTTGCAAAAGCCATTGGAGATGCAGAGTGGTGAAACCTCACTGAAGTATGCACTTTAAGACTGTGGTATTATTTCCTTATGAGCCTTCTGTGAAACAATTGAACTTTCTATTGTTTTGTCATTTTAAAAAAAACCCCCAACAAACAACATGATAAAAATATGCAAAATCCATGTCATTAATACATGCACATGAAAACATAGTATTGTTGACTACTCAGCTGTCTTTGCTGTTCTCTTCTGATTATTTCATTACTTTTCCAGCCGAGAAACATCATTGGAATGAATAGCTTTAAAGTTTGAAATGTTGTATCTGTTTGTAATTCAAGAAAGCAAAGGAATATTAAGTGATTATATTTCAGTAAGTTTCAGTTCTGTTGGTTTTCTTTCCATTTCTTAAAAGCTAAAGTATGACTTGAAATATAAAACTACACAGTTGTTGCTATTACATATTTCTCTTCAAAGGCTGCTGAAGTTTTGAAAAAGAAAAAAAGGAAAGAGTAACACCTGTGCAAGTCTGAAACCTGTGGCTGTTTCAGCTGTGTGCTTCTTTCTTGTCTTTCCTTCCTCTCTTGCCTTTTTTTTTTTCTGTTTTCTGGTTTTTGACTTCAGTTTAAAGTCAGGCACTCTAGATGCAAGTAAGGTAAATGTCAGTGGAAGATCCTAGAGCTCTCAATGTGTTAGAATTATTATTGTTCTATACCATCTATGTCTACTGAGATGCAATGAATAGTGTGATATAACATTAAAATGTGATTTATTTTCACTGTCAATGCAAAGTCATTTAAGTTTGCCGCTGTACATATCCACTTCATTCTAGGACTACAGACCAGTAAGCTGTGAATGTTACAAGTTGTGTCTAATAATGAAACTCCATCTCATGCATTTCTAGCAGTGAGTTGTTTTTGTGTTCCTTAAATATAAACTTTGCTTAGAGAAATGTGTACAAGGTATTCGTGTGGCAGTACCTCACTCTGCCTTGAGAACTACATTCTCACCAGTCCACAGCATTAGCTTTTTGTTAGTTCTGCTAGAAATAGAGGTCAAAAAGAAGTTCTGGGCCCCAGCCCTTCAGAGCTGCAGCTGTCTCCTGGCTAGTTCCTGTTCCTTGTAGGGCAACATTGGAAACTAAATGGTAAAGCTTCAGCCAGGCTGACTCAGAACAGGAGAGTCCTGCTAGAAGGGCAATGCTACATGCAAGCATATGGCACCCCTTCCTCCCTCCTGACTGCTGCTCCGATGTCTGCTGAAAGAGCATATTTTGTTTACTTCCTGGGAGGATGCAGAGGCATTGAGAAGAGAAGGAAAAGAAAAGGAAGAGCTGAAGAGAAGGAATATATAAGAAAATGAGGGGGGCAAAACCCCTCAGCCCTTGTTCATAATGGTGCAAACCCTTGTGCTGATGGTGTAAAGAGTAGAGAGAGCAGAGATGCTTCCCTCAGGAGGTAGATTTTTATCAAATGTTTAGTTTATTGCATGCTTTTTTTGACATCTGCTGCTCTCCAGTATCAAAGACAGAACGCTGAACTAAAGCACCTGATCTGAGTGTAGCATTTCTTTTGTCTTTTATAGATACCACTGCTGGGAGGTAAAGAATTGTGTATTCAGAGACAGTTAAAATATGACAATGTATGATTTCTTTTTCCCCATTCAGATGACTTGTAGCTGCACTGGTGCTATGATTCAGCCCCATAAATGCAGAGGAAATGCAGCTCTTACCACATGATAAATGCTTTCAGATTTCAGCACTCTCTCACAGGCTCTGAAGTGTTCATGCTCTATAAATGTGTGCATTATGAACTGTGGGACCTATTTCAACTTTAGAAAAGACTGGAAGCTAAGGTACTGAGGCACAGGAATGGATATGCACCATTCACTAAGTATCACACAGTCTATGAATGTTGCTTTTGAATTTGACCCGGTTTTGTTAGCCACTATAAAATAAAGTGGCTAAAGAGTACTTAATTTTTAGCTAAAGATGAGCAGCTTTTTTCATTGCTGTAGCTGTCTGCTTGTGGTGTTAAAATCTGTCTCTACATGAAGGTGAGAAGTCAAAGCTCTAAGCTTCTTTATAACTGCCTATCCCTGTCCTTTCTCAGGACTTGTTCCTCTGTGGGTGGGTGCTGAGATGTGTGGGATAAAGGTATTAGAGTAGGAATTCTCACCCCATCTCTTCTAATCTTTACCACTTCATAGTTGTTCCATACCTTCTACCCATTTAGCTTCATCTGCTTTTTTAAATTCCATTCTTGAAACACTTTTTATACGTTGAAGTTTTGCAAGTTAGTTTTTATGATAGCTTGCTGCAACCTCTGTGCAGTCCATGTATCACATTGTTTCTATTGGCTGCACATTGGGGATTGGAAGTGTTTTCTAAACACTGGTTTCGTACTTTCCAAACAGCTTATAAATGTTATGGGTTGGGCACTGTTGATATTTTTCATCTTCTTTTGCTTTTTCACAAATCATGTGTACTATCAGCAATTAAAACCTCAAAGGACTGTTTGCCATCTTTCCTCTCCTGAAGCTTTGCTGGCAGTTTGCATAGCTGGCTGTTTCTCCTGTGCTGCCCTGTGTCAAAAGGGATACTGAAAATGGCTTAGGTTACACCATCAAGCCTCTCCTGAGGTTTTATTTAGTTGTATTTTCTAACCCTGCACCTTCTCAAATGTGTAGGAACCTTAATATACCTGAAGTCAGTAATTTTTATACTGGAAAAGACTGTTTCTTATTAAAATGTAAGCTCAGTGAGCTATTTACTGTAGCCTGTGACTTGAGCAGTAGTCAGTGCTTTTGGTCTGAATAGTTTAAGAATTAATGCTTTTGATTGCTGCTACTTAGTGTAGCAAACATATTGCTGCAGATATGATGGCAAGAGGTGTGCAATACCAGTTGTGGCCATCAGAGATACTTCAGTAACTGGCTGTTTAAAAGAAGGTAAGTTAACCAAAAAGTGAGAGAGAATGACAGGTGTAACTTGTATGAGAAGCTTTAGCATGAATCTTTTATGAAAGGGTTGCTTTTAATTTTTTGCTTACTTTTGTATATAGAAAAAAAAGAAGATAAATTACTTATTGTTTTAATGTATTCCTGCCCCCTGTCCCTTAGGTCATCATTTTTCTCATATTGGATTTAACTCAACTTACAACAGGTACAAGAAGAAAAATGGCCATAACTCTCTTACTTCTTTGCTGTTACCTATGCAGCATTGTAGGGCAGGTACTATCAGCTGTTTCTGTTTCTAACTCACTTCTCTTGCATGTGGCTTCCTGAACATATTACTTGTTAGGTGGACAGAAAGGGTGTGCTTGCAAGCTCTTGTCCTGTGGAAACATAATGTAAGCAAATCAGTTATTGCTCACACAAGATATTGATTTGCCACGTCCTAAATGGTGTGCAGGACTCTTCCATGTGGTGTCAGAAGAAAAGAGTCTCAAAGATCAGTTTTGAGATAGGATATTTAACTGTAATGCAAACTAAAGACACTGGTGGAAAAAAAAAGCAAGCTACCCGGCCTAAAGCTTCTCTGTCACCTATCATAGTCCTATTTGCTCAGGAGCTGGTGTGTATCAAGAGGTGCATCATACAGAACTTTTACTGATCAGCAAACCACAGTTTAAACAGTCTCTTCTGTTCTGATCCTGATTCTTTCCCCACCTGTGCGAACTGCTTGGTGAGTACAGCTGTGCTTACATCCAGAGCTTTTGTACTGATTGAAATCACGGCATTAAGCTGAAGTAAGGGAGAGTCAAAAATGTTATTTCTAATGATGACAATTATAAGCTAATGATAGACCAGTCACTAATACAAAGAATCACTTCCCTTAATGTGAAGCAAATTTAGCTTGCAGTGCAGTGTTTTAGCAACAAGAGGTGTGCATTGGAGCTCTCTTGCTGTCACAGACTTGAAAGCAAAGGACTCCGTTGATAAGGAGAATGTAAAAGGTTTAAAATGACTGCAATAGTACATTTTTCTTATGTATCAGAGTTTGCACTTTTAGTGGCCATCAAGAACTGTGAGGCTGTATCTGTTCTGGAGCCAGCACAGATCTTAGACAGTTGCACTGCTCTGCTCAGTGCGGGGTGGGCAAGTATTATACCAGCTGATGATCTGTCTTCAGATATCCTGAGTATCATTTACAGAATGTGATCTGTGATGTTGAAACTTTGACTACAAGCCCAAATAAAATGCATTTGCTTTACCTTCTGTGAGCCATAAACTTGCCTGTTTATGGTTCACAGAGTTCTCTAAACATGAGACTCTATAGGTCTCCTGCTACCATGTTGTGTGATGAAATGTAAGCGCTGGTGTGTTCCTACCATCAGAGGCAATACAACCAACTTGTCAAGAATAAGCAACCTAAGAGGCTTGATCTGCTATTTGCAGCTTTTGCATGTTTTTGCTACAGGGCACAGTGAACTTTCCAGTAACTAAGCACCTCATTTTCATGAGACTAGGCAGTGCAGAACACAGCCTCCTTAGGATGTGCCTGGGACAGACACCCCTAGGGATCCTGCCTGGCATTCAATGCCATCTGCAGCTTGTTGCCCAGTACAGGTTGTTTGGTCCATGTGATGCAAATAAGATTTTGCACATCTCCAACTTCAACACAGCGTGGTGTTGGCCCATGGCAAGTGAACAGTTTATTTGCTGAGGATAGAGTAGAAATGCTGCAATAACAAAGGAATGCTCAGTTCTTACCTAAATTAGAAATGTAGCCACAAATCAGGATCAGGCATTTAGCATGATTGTGTAACATCAGGCAATGCATGGTGAAAGAAAAGAGAGATTTTAATAGGAAAACACAGTCACTAAAAAGTAACTACTCTGTTTCATTTTCTGGGAATGGAGTTGGAATGTGAGTGCTGAAGAGTCCCCAGTGAATTCCTGAATGCCACGGGTACTGGTGATGCCAGAGAGGAGGCACACAAAAATAATTCATGATGCTGTCCCTGGAGAGAAAACAAGGGAGTGCTTGTGTGTGCAGGAAGCAGTTATCGTGCTGCTGAGCAGGGAGCCTTTACAGCTTGCCTGATTTGGGTGTGTGCACAAAATAGAGTCCTGTGTGCAGCATGTGGGGTTTTACAGCTTTTGCATCTCTTATGATTTCCAGATCCTAGATGGCTGGGTATGGGTTATTATTTTAAGTACCAGCTCAGACTGAGATGTAATGTAACCTGTGAAATTGCTAGTAACTAAGGTTTAATAGATCAACTTTTCTCCTTGGTGGCCTCTCTACAACCTACTGCTTGAACACCCTTCTTTAACAGGGTGTCGGTGGCTGTGTAATTGGAAGGAAAACACATAGCCCCAGTGTTTTGGGTGCTGATCCCCAGGGGAGGATAAGGGCAGGAAGAACTTTTAGTCCCATCTCTGGGTATGGAAGCAAACCTCAAACGTATTCAGTTTTGGAGGTGGTACCAGAATTTCTGCAGTGGTTCCTGAACGTGTTTGAAATAGGGTTCCAGTTTAGATGGAAAGCAGGTAGCCCCAGTGTTTCAGGTGCAGATGACAGGCTGCCCAGGGCAGGGTAAGGCAGGAAGAACTTTGTTCTGGCACTTCTGTTGTAGGAACAATCCTTGGCCTTCATAAATATTGAAGGTTCTGTCCATGTTTTGGGTGTGGGCTAACCCTGACCTGTCAAAGGTCACTGTGGGCATAGGTGAAAGATCACTGCTCAGAGGGCAAAGTGCACAGGGCAAATGTCATGGATCAGGGACAAAGGTCACAGGGTTAGGGCAAAGGCCACAGGACAGAGGTCAAAGCTAATGGGGTCAGAGGGGTCATGGGTTCAGGGGTCAAAGACTATGGGGCAGGGGTCAACAGACACTGGAGTCAGGGCAATGCTAACAGGGTCAGAGGGCAAAGGCTACAGGGCAGAGAAAAAAGTAACATGTCAGGTGGGAAAGGTCATGGGATCAAGAGTCAAAAATAGGGCAGAGGTCAAGGGTCACTGAGGGCAGAGTAAAGAATTCTATGGGGCAATTGTCATGTCAATACATAGTTGTATTGAGGTTGGGATAAAAGGTCAGACATCATGGGGCAGGGGCCAGAGGTTAGTTGTATTGAGGTTAGGATAAAAGGTCAGACATCATGGGGCAGAGGTCAAAAGGCATGGGGTAATTGGAAGCTTCTGCTGATGAAACGAACAGCAGAGACATCTACTTCAGTGCCCCCTTCTTTAACCCAACAATGCCAGCACAGCTGATAGGAATGGAAAAAGAAGGCATGAAAGGTAGCAGACCGACTTTAAATCCTCCAGGGAAGCAGATCTAGAGAAAAAGGAGCCAAACTGCAGACAGTGCAGTAGCTGTTAACTTCAAGAGCAGCTTGGCTACTCCTGGACTCCTCTGGTTCCCTCCAAATAAGTTTAACCTAATAGTCACCTTCCATACCTGTCAAAAGAAGAAAATGGAAAATAGCACTTTGAACATCAGAACAGTTTTGCATAAGAATTATTGACTGGTGTTTTTGTTTATTGTGCAATGTTCAAGATATTATAAAATAAGCCCTAGTCGCTAGAATAATTACAACTGGCTTTGCAAAGTGCTGCATCTATTGGCACCCAGGTTTAATTTTCCTTGAGAGATGTCTTGTCTCGTACTGCACGATAAGGCTTTTCTAACACCGACAAGAGCAGCAGTGCTTGGGAGGCTTTGCTGGGGGCTGTGGCTGAGCTGCCGTTCTTGCAGTTGGAAGTATAAGCAGAGAAATAGTTCATCCTGTAAAGCTCTGCTCGACTCTTGCAGCAACCAAACTTGCTCATCAGCAGAAAGAAATCCCTTCGAAATGCTTTGGTAAAAATTGCGTAGAGAAATGGGTTTGCACAGGAGTTGACTGGGTAAAATAAAACCAGCAGAATCTTGGAGTTGGTCACCGTGATGAGAGGAACTTTAAAGGCAGCAGATATGGCAAAAAAGGAGATAGGGGCCATGCAGGTGAAATCCGTGAAGATCAGTATTGCCATTCTCTTGGCGACCTTGGTGTCTTTATTGGCAGCTACCATCTCTGGATTCTGAACAGCTACATAAATCTTAATGTAGCAAGCACAAATGACAATGAAGGCGACAACATTCAGCACCAAGATCAGCAGTATGTAGGCTTGGGAAAGACCCGTTTCAATATCCATGGGTAAACAAATGCTGACCTTCATGTAACTGCTGACCCCTAAGAGAGGCAGCACTGCTATTAATATGGAGAATATCCAGCCCCCGAGCATGATGGGCACAGCGTGCCTCAGCCGTAGCTTCCGATCCAGCTGCATGGCATAGGTGATTGTGTGCCATCTCTCGATAGTGATCACTGTGAGTGTGTACACTGAGAGCTCACTTGCAAAGACAGTGAAAAAGCCAGCAGTACTGCAGCCACTGCCTGTCTGCCAGTCTATGGCATGGTTGTAGTACTGACCACTCGTCTGGGCATCAACAGAAGCGATGAGCAGCAAGTAAAGTCCCATGCAAAAATCAGCAAAGGAGAGGTTACACATGAGGAAGCGAGGAACGGTGAGCTTGTAACGGCTAGTTATGAGAACGAGGAGTACAGTGAAATTACCAGCAATGGCAAGGATATTTATAAACCAGATCAGGATTCTGAGAAAGCTGTATCCCATGATGTCTTCGCAGGGATTAAATGCATCTGGTTCTGGAGTGCATGTGAGTACTTTAGGCTGACAAAAGTCATACACGAAGTCAAAGCCGGTCATTTCACTGTCATCAAAAATGTCTGAGTAGCTGTAAGGAGAGCTTTGTTCATCTGTTGCAAAGAAGTATGTGTTCTTTTCCGCTGACCAGAGCAATGTGTTGTTAGAGTCTTCTCTGTAACCATGAAAAAAAACAATATCCCCCCCCCCCCAAAAAAAAAAAGGAGAATTAATTGTTACATGCTGCTTGCATTCTGTTGTAAAATACAACAGGTAACTCTTTTAAAACAGTGACTTCCTCTGTGTGTTTCAACAGGGTGAGTACATATAATGAAGTCTTGCAAGGATGCTTTGTGTTTGGGTAGCAGCCTTGGAGAGCAGCAGAGGTCAAAGTCACATCCACAGGAGTGCTCTCTTGTACAACCTTACTTACTTGCAAGTACTTTATCTTGATTGCTTTGTAAGCAAGACATTGTTCTCATGCTGCCAGTAGACTGTAGTCCAAACTACAGTAACACTTGAATTGATGCATTACAGGTTTAATGTGTATAGGTTTATCAGACAGCTATAGAAGCCATACTAAAATAACCTACAGATTTTAAGCGTGCACCCTTCCTCCCTTAGGGAAGGCACTTAGCAAGCAAATTCCTGAGCCTATATATGACTTGAGAAGTGCTGAGGAATTTGATGTTCGCAGTATTATAAAGCAAGGAGTAGAAGTGCATGGCTAACTAAATAATGTTGATGGCTGGGAATTTATTAAATATAGACTGAACCCAATGCCTAATTATAAATGCTTTAGGTGCTTAAAGTAGACCTGTCTAATCTCTAGGTCATCAAGAGTGTGGGGATAAGCCTGCCAAAGAAGAAACATTTTAAAAGTAAACACTGTCTCTTCTGGCACATCTCTGCTATAACAGGTGCCTGTTTTGCAACTTCCCAATCATCCTGACCATGAGTGTAAACACTCAGTTTACATTGTGAGATCTAAAAAGCATCTCTTTTTGAGGACAGCTCTTCAGAAAACGGTAGTTTTTTAATAACTTAAATACACACTTAAACATCTACAACTACTGAAGCATGTACATTAAATTATATTTCTGGAGTAAGGTCTTACCAGGCAAATGAAGCTGAGCTGCTTTTCATCTATTCTTGCTGGACAAATAACTTCCTAATCTTGTTATCCTAACTCTTCTCTCCTTACATGAGGAAACTGCCCAATGTCTTGCTTTTACCTGCCTGGCTTAAACTCAAAGAGCAGTGAATATGTTTGACTATATTTATTAATAAAAAATGATTGTGATTTTCTGAGAGGCCATGTAAACATGCTGCCATGTGCAAGCCAGTTTGGGTTTGTTTTATTTTTTTAACTAATAAGAACTCAGGGCTTCCAGATGATTTCTGCTGTGGTTCCCAAACTTTGCAACTTGCAGCCATTCAGCCCATGAACCATGACCTTCCATTTGCATAATGTAATGTCTGCTCAGAGAATTGATGGGATTGGGATTTACCAAAACAAAAAGCTTCAGGAGTCAATAGGCTGGGAAAGCTTATTTAATGCACAGCGGGAGTGCAACAGATGCTAATCCAAAGCAAACAGCCAAATAAAACCAAATGGCAGGTGTAGGAGGCCTCATCAACCAGCAAACAAGATAATGTTCAAGGAAGTCATTATCCCAGTGAATCAATCACATTTCAGCTGTACTTAGCTGTTGGAATTTTGTGACCATAACCTTAGTTTTTCTAGACTTTACGATGCTCTGACGCCACATTAGGGATGCTGAAAAGTCCCAAGGTCTGTCATTTCACTGTAGAGGGATGAATAGTAGCAAATACTTAAACTTCTCCATTAAATATTGGTTTAGAGCCTGTGTCATCCAGCATGGCCAAGACACCAGTTTTAATGTTAGCCTTTCTCATTGTCAAACTGGCCACTGTCAAACAAAACCGATGACATGAAAAAATACATTTCTAAGGAGTAAATCACTGGCATGGGGTCATCGCACTTGTAACTCAGGGACTCTTTCTACCATGGAAACCTACTGACAGACAGAATTCTAATTATCCTCTCTATAGGCAAAAAAAAAATTATTAGCAGTAGCAGCTCTTCTTTGAATCACACAAACAACTGCAATTATCTCAGAATATGGAAAGTCTCCATGTAGGCCATTAACTTTTGTAAATATTTAATGACTGTTTTGCAAGCCTTTAAAGAATTCAGAAGAGAAGCTGGAGAGAGTAAAGCTTGAGAAATTATGGGGGTTTTTTTGCTTTCCTTATGAACATCAAAAGCATAAATCGGAGTTTAATGATAGCAAACTTAACACTGTTCAACTTATAAGGGTGACTGAACTGGCAACCAAAGACATGCTGTTTGAGAAAAAACCACACAAACAGCAGGAGAGGGAGGTCTGTACTTGCTACTTCCAGCATCTATATGCAGAAAGGTACTTACAATATTTTATTAGTGAGTTTCCTCATGGTGCTTTCACACTCTTTGGAGAAGTTGTCAAAAATGGAAAGCAAGGAATTTTGTCTGCAAGAAAGACAAAAAGAACGTTAAGTTTCAGGATGGATTTTGGCCACATTCTCATCTCTGCCAAGTGCTCTTCACAGACATGTAATATAAGCTAGAATTGGCCTCATGACAGTTCAAATATTCATGCAGATATCTGGAAGAGGGAAGGAGAAGGCTTCAGAGACTGCAAGAATAGGCAGAACCTCATGGGAGCTGTAAGGATGGTCTTTCGGTTCTGTTATTGTTTATGATGAATTTTTTATATATCAATAACTTCAACTGGAATTTAAAGGTATGTTTTGAAACATTGTATTGAAGTAGACCAGATTCTCCACCAGTATGAATGGCAGCACCTGAAAATTAATATAACAGAAATGTAGTTATCTTTATCAGAACGAAGACTTTTTTTTCCAGTCCCAGAGTTGCTTCTGCACTTCATACACTCCAAGACTTGATCTGGGACTGAATCAGAGTTTAGTAGCAATGGAAACCCTTGATGGTAGAATCTTTGCTCTATTCTTGCAGAAGCAAAAACTCCTCAGTAAAATGAGGTGGGCAGAGAAAGCATAGTATCACCCTAATTTTACCCTATAGAATCAGATTCTATTCCTGCACTTTGCCTTCACAGTCCTTGAGTGAAGGTATGCAAGTGACACGAATCAACCTTTTCACAATTCACAATTTCAGTATGTGTTTTCTGTAATCTTCATTTGAGACAAACAAGAACCAAGGCATCCTCACAGCTTCAACTGAACTCATTTGGGGTTGCTTTGGCTGCCTAAAGTCAACCAAAGGTTGGTTTCTTTGAGATATAAATGCTGAAAAATTAGCTCCACTTGTCTTGGATTGACTGCCCCAAATTAGCAGATGCAAAGCTCTCTCTGTGTCATGGTTTCCAATTGTAAGGAGAACAATACTGTTATTATCTGAAATGACTGAACTGAGTAACCTATGTAGGCTTGTGTCAGGTCCTTCTATTGGTGGGTAATTGAGAGCCTGTCTTTTCTACTAGGTCATCATGTAACCTGTATTATTTTAGCTACATAATGAAAGGCTACAGGGGTTATTTTTTTTCATAGCAACACGCTTTTGATGAAGATCTATCTTCTGTGTGCCAGTAGGCCTTCTATTTGAGATACCAAACAAAATATAAGCTTTAAGCATACTTAGAATAATGTTCCCACTGGCAGATTCAGGGCATAGGATGGGATCCATTTCTGCTCTAAAATAAATGGACATAATTTTTCTGGCTTTAGCAGAGATCTGTTGTTTCATGCAAGGCCTTGCTACATACCATGGCTTCCCTGTAACTGGAATAAGGATAATCAAACCTTGTGAGCTGAATAAAGCAGAATTGCCATTTTGGAGCTTCTGAAGCACCACAGTACAATAATGTGCTATTTGGACTTACTTTGTTGTCTTTAGATTTCGAAAAGCACAGCAGTGGCTGGGATACGTTAGAACAGCTTCCAGAAGACTGCTGAATTTATCCAGTGATGGCAGTCTCTTTAATGAGTAAGATGACGTTGCATTTAAGACTTGAATGGCCTCAAGCCCATAACTCGGCAGGGACTCCAACGCCGTTGAAGAAATATCCCTATGAAACAAAGAGAGCATTCTCTTCTCTTTTCATGCTTATAAAAATACCACCAAAGGATGATGATAGGTAACAATGACTTGGTTTGTCACAAAGCTCTAAATCTACAAAGCCGCTTCAGCACCTGATACCTAGCTCAGAAACACGGTCTGTGAAACTGCAGAGCAGCAAGGTAAGAGCATCCCTGTGGCTCAGGAGCCCCAGCAAGGCAAGGAGCTAACTTTGTCTTGGGGAAACCAAAACACACCACTCCAGACACTATGTCCTGACCTCTCTGTTTGAAACCCACCATGCATGGAGTGAGGAACGGCTCATTAGGACAGAGACAGGGAGAGAAAGTGGGTAAAAGTGACTCTCCAGCCAGCTCTCCTGTCTCTCTGCTTGGCTCTGAAGGGCTGTTCTAGGTTTTTAATGAAGTGGCTATTAATTAAAGCCCATAAAATAGCCATCATTCTTGTCAAGACAAGCTTCAGCAGTTTAGCTTAGAGTAACTTCAGAGGGGGCTGCTTGTGTGAGGAAAGGCCATCAACATGACTAAGGATTTTCAGAGTCAGGCCATTAAATGGGAAAAAAGGCTATAATTGTGAAAGCGATATTAGTAATGTCATGTACTGTAAAACACCAATAAAAGAACCAAAAAAAGCACATGCAGCACAGAGTGCTATTTACAGAACCACACACTGTGTTTTATTGCATGGAGTTACAGCCAGTGTAGCCCTCCAGTAAGTGCTTGATTAGTAAATCATGAGGGTGATAATGTGTTTTATCCAGCACAGGCTTATAGCATGCAATCAGCTAGTTCACTTTTATAACCAAATTCTAAAATAATATATTGTAAAAACATACCTATCCTACAAAAGGACAAGTTAGTTTGCAGTGTCAGAATATAAGACACAGGATCAGGAGGATCTGACACAAATAAAGCCAAGGCCAAAGGTCAGTGCCAACACTAGAACTGGCTGATATGTTTGTCATGGTGCAAACTGAGCCTTTCACCCTGTAATTTTGTGACATCTCATTGACAAGTTTCTACTTTATAAAAAGAAGGTAAGAGATCAAGTCTCCTTCCAGACTCAAAGGCTGTGTTTGCTGTGATGACACAGCCCTCGTGGCACAGTGCAGTTCCTGTGGGATGCTCAGGTAATGGAATGGTGGATACTTACAGAACATCTGGCCCTGTGGCGCCTCTCAGGGCATCGTTGTGTATCCGCCTGAGGTTCTTATTGTCCTTCAGGATTCTGTGGAATCAAACATTAGCTCTCTTTACATCAGTATGTTAAAATATCACTCTTTTGGTTTCTTCTTCACATCTATTTTAATCCTTTCTCCCACCAGAGCAGTGGTTGTTGCAATATCTGGCCTGGGAGTGCTTGTATTTCGCATGTGACCTTTCCCTCCGCCAATGTAATCAGATCATTATCATCTATACTGAAATCTGATAAATTCCATTTTTTTCTGACTTAAACTAGGAATGATCAGTCTGCTTCTTTCATTGCAGTAGCAGTGTACAAAAATGTAGCAAAAGTTCTGTCCAAAACAAAAGGCTAGTCCCGGAGTATGTGAGAAGGATTTAAAAACTATTGATGTTTCTAGACACAACCTGTAAGTTCCTTAGTTTGGACTGCAGTTTTAATCTGTCCACTACTACTGCTAAGTTTCAGACTTCATGAATTTTTATTTAAAATTATGAGCTTTTCTCATAAAAACTGCAGTATTCTAAGGGATAGTGTTTCAGGAAAAGCAGTAAGAGCTGCAGCTTTAATAACTGAGCCACAATGACACTGAAAGATGCAGTTTTCTCATGAGTATCAGGAAATGCAGGACACATGCAGGTAAGCTGAAAGAGGAGCCTTTGACAGTATTTCAATTATTATTTACTGTTTAAATTACTGAGGGGGGAAATATACTCACAATTGATTCAGCTTTGTCCCATTGAAGGCATGGCTGTGGATATCTTCAAATCCATTTTTATACAGTTTTCTAGGGATTGAAAAAATATAAAGAAAAAAGATTCAGAAAAGGTGAGATTATGTTATGTACTACATGTTTCAAATCTTAATGTTACATTCATTTTAATGATTAGAGGGTCTGCTTATAAAGAATGAAGATAACTATTGCATGGCTTACATTAACTCTGAAATTAAGGGAAAGTTGTACTTTAAATTCCCTATGCACCTTCCTGCTTAGCTGCTGAAGAGAACTTCTACTTACATACAGATCCTTCCCCCTCTGAGGGGCTCACCTGTGCCCATCTGGGGCTGAGATCCAGAAATAAGACATTAGTGCAAGTGAGCTCCTGACACTCAGACAACAACCTGGAGGCAGAAGACCTGGATTTTGTGGTGTGAGCATGTGTAAATGGAAGACTACAAAGGGTAGAGAAGCATCAGATGGAAAGCAACTCTCAAGCCTGGAGGGTGTTGCTGGATTGCAGATCCTCTGTGGACAGACAAATTTTCCAGCAGAGAAAATTGTCCCAAGAGACAGCTTTGCAGAGAGGCAGTGGTGAGCTGTGCATCATCCGGCAATGAGTTATCAGCTTCTCCAAAGCACTGCTGCTAGGCTTGATTTGTGCTGTGGAAACCTTGCTGTCACTGCACGGTGACACCTGATGCCACCCTGGAGCCAGATACCTAAACGCTGTGCTCTGCTGCCCCTTTAGTCCAGCTCTTTTCCTTCATTAGGGCATCTAACCTATAGGTCTATTAATATCCATTTGTGATATTAAGTTCATGCTTCCAATACAAATTCAACATAGTTGCTTGTCTGTAGTAGTTTTTCTTTAAATTAAGCCTAATAGAAAACTTGGCACAGTTTATAAGTTAAACAACATTTCTGTTGTTGCTTTTCCACTTGCATTTGGGAGAGCAGAAACTGGGCCTATGGAACCTGCTCCCAAGAATTGCTGAAGTGTGGGGAGCACCTGGCTCCATTTGATAAAAGGGATATATCTCAGCACAATGCTGAAATTAATGATATCCTTAAAAACCACAAAGATATGGAGGAGCAATTTCCCCATCCACAAGAAATATTAACTGTTGGAAAGGCTAAACTAGCTATTTGTAGTGCAAAGTATTACTGCAGGCTGACTTTACACCTTCATAGACTACTTGTATTTCACCAGACCATGCTGTAACAAGAGAAATTACTTCAGCTAATTACAGCTAACTGCATGGGGTGGAGTTAACATGCAACTCTACAATTAGGAAGCTGTTGATAATTCTTTTCTTCTTGTGGTGAGCTCCCTATCACAAAAGGATGAGAGAAAAATAATTGTTGGCTGTTTCCTGACTTAGACTCCCTCCATTTAATACACTTCAGGGTTACAGTAAAAACTTTAAGCACCTTTCTCCATCTCTTTTATGTTCATTTTCTTGCACCATTAGCAGAATCATAATTTTGCTGAAGTTATTTTGAGAACTTGTTGAGAGGAAAGAGGCTCATAAGATGAAATGATGCACTAATCTAAGCAATTGCTCCTCTTTAGCATCATGTAAGGGTAGCATTCAGTCACATTTATGCTCAGTTTCTCTTACAATTTTTAGAAGGTATTGGTCAATACATAAAATCTCTGTCGAAATTACTGTCATGCCAGCACATCAGTCTGATGAAGAGCCCAGTCCAGTCAGCTGCAATTCTTGCTTGTGTGCACAGCTCATTCGCAAGTGCAAATGTTCGTGGAGTTTTGTGCAGAGCTTGATCTTGTGTCAAGCCAGAGCTCCCAATCTGGATGTGTACTGCAGTCTGGTCCACAATGGTCTGTTCTACAGGGCTCCACCTTGGTGTTTGTGGCTACAGCACAGAGCAGGTGGCCTGTTGCTGCCCTCTGTTGCTCAGTGGGTCCTTCCTCATGAAACCCAGATTTCAGCCACATCCTGCAGAGAGGTTCAGTCCGTCACTTTTTCTATTTCAGCACTACTTTGTGAAGTTTTTGTGAGGACAAGGGTGCTGTGAAATCCACACACGGTTCTTGCTGCGCTGGCAAAGGACATCTTACCTTAGCTTTCTGCTGCTTTCTGCATTCCTCAGGTGGGGCATCTCACAGCATCAAACCCACTCATCTCACAGGTGGCTGAAGCAATGAATCCACAGGAAAGCCTTGAGTGTGGAGACTTATGGGAACCAATGTAAGCTAAGTTAAGAGAAATCAGGGTAGGAAGAAGCATCGGTACCTTGTACCAATTTCTTCTCTCTCTCCCTTTATCCTCTTCAGAGACACCCTGTGCAGCTCAGCAGCAACAGATCATCTCTATCAGTCTGCTTGGTCCCTGAATACAGTATTTCAAGAAAACACATCCCTGAGGGAAGAAGAGGGACTTTGGCCTCCAGTGCAGCTTTTGGAGTTTGTATCCTGTTGAAGGTATTTTTAAAAACAACATTGCATGGAAGATAAATATTTAAATCTGTCATCCTACTTTCTTTCCTAAGCAAAATTATCTTTTGGATAAAACTGTTCTTCAGCTTGAAGAACACCCCTACATTTCTTAAGCATTTAAAATTTAACTCACAATACAGATATATATTTCATGGGGCTTAATGTCAGATTTTTGTGAAGTCAACCCACTTTCCTCAAGTGTTATCCTTGCAGCAGGAACTGGAGCTGGGATTATTTTACTCACAGTGTCAGCGATTCATTGTTCATCCCCTGGAAAGCATTTTGCGGTATAATTGTCATGCGCAAGTTATCACAGAGCTCCCTTTGGAAGGAAAAAAAAGGTATTTTTGTCAGTGATCCAGGAACAAGACGGAAAAGATTCACAGCTGGGTTAGGTTGGGTCTCTACTTACAAAATGAAATGAGCTTCCAACGAGGAGATCTGTGTCAGGTCTGGAAATTGTCTTATTCCAGTGTTACAAATGCTCCTAGAGAAAAGCATAATTCCTCTTTATAGGAGAAAATATTACCAGAGTGGATGCAACAAGAAGCTGACTTGGTAAGTTTGAGTTTAGCAGTGCATTAAAAGGTGAGTGACAGATACCAAAATTTTTAAGTAGGCTTCAAATGTGTTTGTAAGGCCTTAAAAAATATATTTTCTAGAATTCTCAAGCAGTGTCCTGGAGAAGCAGCATATGTTCTCTCTACATTAAGCATGAGGAAGAGATTTTAGCAACCTTTTTTGCATAGTACCTGTCAGTCTGAAAGCTTTATTCTAGAAGTAAGCACTTACCAGGACTACTTTGCAGACTTTTGTTTTGTCCATCACTGCCCTGTCCTGTGTTACTTTATTTTGTCTGCTGAAAGACCTCACTATTGGTTAACTACACATTAAAGCTATTGTAAGTGATGCACATACTTCAAGTATACTGTAATACACGAAAAAACCTTTTTTTCCTATGCTCCATTATATGATATGTCTACTCCTTTAGTGAAAATAATAATTAAAGCAAGCAGAAAAGAACTAGAACTCTTTCTTACAAGTATTTTAGCCTTGGAAGGTTTCTGAATGCTCCATCCTCAATGTGCAACAGATTTTTTGTGTTCAGGATTAATCTGTAACGAGGGAAAAGTATTTCAGTATTATAATCATTATAGATTTGGGAGAATCCAGAATTTTGCTTGCGATTCGCCTTCTTAGAAAACCGTCTGCAAATATGCTATGGGTGCATTTTGAAGCATTTTGAAGGTAATAAAAATAGCTTGCAATTCTTAGGCAGCCAACAAAGACAACACTGCCTGAATTCTCATGGTTCACTGGGCTGAGATGATCTGGTTTGGATATCCTGGTCACTGGTGGGAGTTAGCATTTTGCTGTCTTCTGCTGCTTCTTTGGGATATGTGTTCTGGACTTGTGGTGTGCCTAATGCAGTGAACGTCTGCCTTACTGCAGGAGTTCAGAGGCTTCAGTGTGCTATCATCACAACGACTGTGCCTCCAACAGGTGGGCTTGGAGGTGGGGCTGAGCCCAGAGCCTGAGCTTTACATATAAATATATGCGTGTGCGTGTGTGTGTGTGTGTGTGTGTGTGTGTGTGTGCCTGGTCCTTGCCTCATGATCAGATCCCTTTGCATAATCCCTTGTTTCCACTACATTAGTGATGCTCTTCCTAGCCAGGAAAGAGTTCCTCAGTAAGTTTCATCTCTTATAGCACCACAGACTTCCTTAGAGCTGTCATGTGGCAGGTGCCTGCATGGATCTGCAGAAACTGGGAGATGGAGAGAAGTGTGTGAGAAATCCTGATTGCTAGCGGTCACTCAAAACCCAGACAGTTCTCTTAATCAAGGAGCACTTTCTGCAGCTATACTATCTGGTAAACCTATATGTTTGCCTTAAAGGCCAATAACTGTAGCCCAGCTCCATCCCTATGCATGACTTTAAAAATTCAAAGGTTTTAGTGTATGAAATTGCATGAAAAGTTGAAATTCAGGAATGAGTAATTCCATTGAACTCACGTACCCTGATCATCCATTGAACGTGGGCTTGAGTGCAGCTTGAGACATCAAGCCCTTGCAAGGTGAGGCTTGTAGAGAATTCCTGGTTCAAACAGGTTTTCTTGCTAGCCTCCTGTAGCTTTGTAATGGTCTTGCTTAGGTTTTTTTTGGTTTTGAAAGACAGGCATATGACAAGCTAGCCACAAACTGTAGGTGAATGCATTGAGTAAAATCTTT